GAGCAGGCGGGCTCCGGACCCGAGGAGCGCAGCTTCCCGAGCAGCCGCATCCTCGAAGGCCGGGCTGGCCGAGGCCGGGGGACGAGCTCCTGCGGGGGAGAGAAACAGCTGGATTTGGGTGTCCCAAGCCGCTGGGTACCCCCGCGTCCACCCGCACGCACGCCCTGCCTTCCAGTGGCTGATGCGAAAGACGCGAATGAACAGAACGCAGACCTTGCCCTCCTCTTCGAGCTCTCCGGCCCTGTTTCGAGCTCAGAGCCGGGACCTCCGGGTAGCAGCTGGGGCGCCGGCTTCAGCACTGCGGCCGGGACAGCGGCGCTGCTCTTATACCCGGGCTGGGTCCCGCCTCCCGGCAGCCCTGGGCCCCCACCGCCGGTCACCCCGCATTGGCTGCTCAGGTGTGAGCAAAGCTGTCGCAGGAGCTGTCTTGTCCAGGAACCTAACTGTGGAGCGCCTTATCCAAGCCGGAGGAAAGCTGCAAGGGAAGATAGGGCGCCCTGTTGGCAGCTAAAAACGTGCGTGGCCTCCTGGAGAAAGGAAAGCAGGATGCGGAAGCCGGAAGTTCTGTTTGGCTAGGAGACAAGCCTGTCACCCACCCTTCCTGTGACCTACAGGTCCGGGGGCTTCTATTTCTTGCCCCCACGCTCTCACCCTGTGCACACAGGTAGGTACCAGTTTCGAACTACAGATGCATCTGGATTAACGCAACCGTAAACTGAAATTTTAATTAAGTCAAAAATACCCTAGCCTACCTTAACCGTGTTTAGAATACATCAGACTGCAGTTGGACAAAATCATCTGAAATAAAGCCTATTTCATAATAAACTGTTAGCCCGTATTTCACTGACTGTACTGAAAATTAAAAACAGAATAGTTGTATTGGTTACATTTTTATTTTGTTTGTTTTTGAGACGGTCTGCAGTTCACTTGCCCAGGCTGGCATCAAAATTACGGAGATACTCCTGACTTAGCCTGCAAGTGCTGGGGTGACAGGTGCCAACACGACTGGCTTCGGTATGGATACACTTTTGCAACATCATAAAGTCAGAAACTTCTAAGTCCCACCAAGTGTGGACTCTCTGTACCTTGCATAGCATCTGTCTCCCTCTGCTGGCCTGGGATCTCCTTAATGACACTGGGCCAGACTCACCTACTGGTGTAATGGGTGAATTAATGTCTGCAAAAACTTCTCAATGGCTGCAGGCTCTGCCTGTCATCCTGTCTTTCACAAATATGGGGCTTCTGGTTCTAGCCCTAAAAATAACTTTTTAATGAATTTTATTGGTACATTTAATGTATGCAATATAATAACTTTGATTGTTGGAAATCTGTACGTTTACATAATCAGTCTTGGTTCATTTCCCTGCCCTCCCTTCAACCCCTTAAAAACAACTCATGATGATTTCAAAGCAGCCCCTTTTTCTCGCTGTGCTTGCATGGAGTTATCCAGATGGAAAGCACTTTACCAAAACTCTGAGTTGCTTCTTGCCATCACCTAAGCCTCACTTCCTGAGATGAGAAGGCCAGAACCCCAAGGGGACTCAGAGAAAAGTCAGCAAAGTTAAAAAGATACAGAGCTCAGTGGAATCTGGAACTAGAAATATCCTATTTGGCTTTGCACACGTCTCCTGCTATCTGCAATACCCTTTCTCTGCTTTACCTTTCTGCAGGAATTCCTGCTTATTTTCCATGAGTCAGCCCACAGACTTTCCCTTCATGAACCTTACTCCCCTGCTCAGTTCAGCAGCCTCTTTGTCCCCTCTGTGCATACTCTGCTCACCACCATGGTTACATTTACCATGTTGCTTTGGAATTTTGGGTTTTGCTCCTCTAATGGACTGTGAGCTTCCTATGAGCAAAGACTGGGGCAATGCAACCAGAGTGGAGTTTAGGCAGCCTCTTCTGAATATAGAATAAATAAATAAAAGTCTTAAAACACAGAACCTAGATCTGCCTCCATTCTAGTTGCCATACTCCAAGCCACCAGCCTTCCTGCTATAGTTGTCTCTCATTCAATTCCAGCACCTGGGTATAATCCCAGGCAAAGAGGAAGGGCTTAGTAAATATTTGATGAACTATATTGCTCTGAGTTGATGCTGATCTATAATTCAGGTCTTATGACTATCAGGTGCTTGCAACCACATATCTTTCTAACTACGTTATTTGATTTCTTTCTCACAATAAACCAGTGAGGCAGATGTTTTTGTTTACCAGAGGAGAAACTGAGGCTCAGATTAAGGGGTTTATCTGAAGTCATTCAATGACTTTATGAATCATAGACCATATATCTGAAGTCCTAGCCATTTTTGCTAATTTTTCCCTTTCTTTCTTGCTTCTCTTCTTTCTTCCAGTCACTCAGTTCTATATAATTCAGAGTCGATGGTGTATTAGGCACTGTGTGTATCACCTGATGCCCAGAATGTTAACTCTTAAAACACCTCAGTCTACCTTTAAGTATTTTCTACTGTCCTTGCTTTAGAATACAACCTATTATTTTAAGTCCTTAAAGTTAAGAAGCATGAATGTTTCCCCTATGTTAACAACTTTGTTCTTAGTTGACTACTGTTTTCTAGTATATGCCTTTTTTTTTTTTTTTTTTTTTTTTTTTTTTTTTTTGTACCGGGGATTGAACTCAGGTCCTTGCTCTTGCGAGGCAGGTGGTGAAACCACTGAGCTAAATTCTCGGCCCATATATGCCTTTTTGATGGGACAAATATCAATTGATATGCAGCCACAGGGACCAGGGAGCTGCAGCCATTCCTGCTAAAACCGATCTTGCTGGCAGAGGTGACCCTGCAGTCTCTGCTAGGATGATCTGCATGGGAAAGGGTTTGATCTGCTGAGGAATATGCCTGTGTCATGTCTTGAGGGAGATGCAGCTCATTTCAAATTTAACCTCCACAAAAATGGCTTTTGTGCTCCCAAGAGCCTTCACAACAGAAGCACAGACATGTTATCTGCTGAATGCCACTGGAAGCGGGATTTGGGGTTTCAGTGACTGGGCTGCCAGCCCTTCTGTATCTATGGAACTATGTAGCTCCTATCAAAACCATTGGTTTGCCATAAATCAGTTCTACAGAAGAGCAAGATTCAGGGAAATTACTTACCCTGGGGTGCACACCAGTGGTTCATTCACTTGAGCCCATAGCTGCAGGCTGGATGCACAGAGGTCCAGCTTCCTTCAGGATTTTTTTTTAACTGAGCTAAATCCCTAGCAGGATTCTTAAATTACATTTTGCAGAAAGTGGAAAACAAACCTTCAGTGGAGACTGATCTCTGGTTGTTTATTAGTTTGTGCCTCGTTACTGTTCAAAGTCCACTGTCATTCATATTCAAGGCCCTGAAATTATGTCAAAGAAACTGTCTCAATAATATTAACATTTACTGATTGCGTATTAGGTAAGCATCACGTTAAATGCTTCATATACTTTATCTTATCTAAACAACCCTTTGTAGATGATAGGGATGGAGAAAATGAGGGTTCAAAGGAAAAATAATTTTTCCAAAGTGTCACATCCTGTAAGAGCAGAGCTGGGACTCAAGCCCAGATCTACCTGGTGCATCACTGTCACACGTGTGTACAACTTTGCTAGAGTGCAGAGTTCACTATTTTCCCAGCCATTTTCCCAGAACCAGTTCCCCCTTAGGTAACTAAGATTGAGTTGAAATGTATACATCTCATTAACTAAACCAGGACCTCCTATTAAAGTACGAAGTTGTCATAATTATGCACTACTTATACATAGTAGTGCTGTGCCGTTTTCAGCCAGAGTCCCTCTCCTTCCAGGAAGCATGTTCATTCTCTCTATTTATACTACACTCTTTCCAAAGAAGGATTGGGGTGATTTACATAACAAAGAGCCAGGTAATTTATTACCATTAGAATCTGACATGATGAAAATGGAACTCAGGTCCTTGTGCTTGCAAGGCAGGCAATGGAAGCATTGAGCTAAATCCCCAGCCTTTGAATAAAGACTCTTGTATGAGGTCACGAGACAAATCAGTTATCTATGTCCCGGAAGTGGGAAGTGTTAGGAAAAAGAGGAAAAGTAGGTGAACTCCACAGTGGAGGATGAGCTTTTATTGGCATTAGACCAGGACAGTGGCAGTCTTACAGGGTGAGGGTTTATGCGGGGTTCAGAAGGGGATGGTGGCTATCCTGAGTTGGGGTTGCTTTGTAATCTTTGACCACTGGGCTGTTGTGCCTACCTCCGTGTTTATATTTTAGGACTCATCATTTTAAATCTTGAAGCTTAAACTTAAGGCTCAAATTTAAACTTTTAATCTTGAGGCTTAAACTAGTAGCCTCCTCCCCACACCCCTCTTTGACTTCCCTTTTGGATTAGTAACAGTGGATGGATTAGCACCTGTCCATGTCCCTTTTTCTCATGAACAGATTGGCTCAGGTTGAACAGCACCTGGAATCCTTCTCAGAGAAATCCTGTATAGAAATTTCTCAGGGACTTGATGAAAACTCAGTTCTTTTTATGTCCCACCTAAGATATACTAATATAAATCCAAAAACCAAGGAAGGACAGATCTCTAGCTCCAGTTCATTTCCCAGTCTGCTCCTGATATTAGAAAAAAGCTTCAAAAGTTAGAAGAGGGACCTCAGCCCCCAAGAAATAAATTCATAAGTGCTGCCTTCTGCATTAATAACCAGGAGGATGAACAAGGGACTCAAAAGAAAAAAAAAAGTTAAATGAAAATGCCAAACTCTTGCCTCTGCTATTCACAGAACTGCAGCAGGGGCCTCAACCACCTCCCCCAGCCCTTGGTACAGATGTGCCAATGTCATAATTTCCTTAATCCTTGTTCTCCAACTAAGCCATGCTCTGCCTATGGCCAGCATGGACATTGGAAGATGGACCACCCCCCGCAGGAATGCCCTTCCAGCTGGAGAACAGCTCTCACAAAAAAAAAACCCTGTCCAGTCTCTTTTGATCTAGCTCAGCTGCTGTCTTTAACAACAGAGGACGGGCAGTGCCTGGGATCCATTTCCTCCATGGAAAGTGAGTCCATGGATCCCAGGGCAATTGGGATGGTATCAGGCAAGGCCACTGTTTTTCCTTCTTAATACTGGGATAAATCTCTCTGTTCTCCTCGAATTTCAGGGTCCACTTGCCCACTCTTCTGTTTCTGTGGTCAGCACAAAAGCATTATGGTACCCCTTATGGACACCCTCTGGGTACTGCATGATAGGGGGAGTGAACTTCCTACATTCTTTCTTAGGTATTCCCCACTGCCCACCCTCTTACTGGGCAGGGAGCCCACACATAATTTAGAGGCCATGCTCTATGTCCCCACCCTCCCTCGGCCTATGAAATTCTTCTCTGCCAGAAAAACAAACCTACAACATTCAGCCTGCCTAATGGTTGCCCATCTCAGTAAAATGGCCTCTAATAAACCACCAAGTCTAGGCCACTAGTACCCCCAAAATAACATCCCACCACAACCCTGTGAATGTTTCAATAAAGATCCATGTGTTTTTTTAGTTCCGCCATTGCCCCCTTTTACCCTGGAAGGTAAGAGCAAACCTACTATTGATAACCTTCTTAGAGCAGCAATATTGATTCCCACCAGCTCTCCTCATAACACACCCCCATCCTCCTCTTTCCATTCTGATCCCCTTCTCCTCCTGTTGCTGATACCTGTGTCCAACTCCACTGTCCATTTCTTAACACCAATACCTTCAGTCTCACCCTAGAAACACCCTTATATCACTGAAAGCTCTAAAAGATTCACTACATCTGGTATAAACAGTTCCCCCAAACCCCGACAGCCCTTCATGGCCATGGCACCTTGACACAATATTAATCTGGCACAACAGGGACAACAGCAGGATACCTGGACATGGAACTTCTCATCTCATTTCTCAGTTGGATCTCTTTCCCTGTCTTTCTTACATGACTGACCTCTTTTGCATCCATAGGACCAACACATACCTTTACCTCCCCTCTAATTGGACAGGAAGCTGCATTCTGGCTTTCTCTCTCCCTGTATCTCTGACTCCCACCCCTGTCCTATGCCCCTATTCCTAACAAGGTGCCCCCATCTGTAAGGGCCAAGAGAACAATACAACTAATTCCCCTCCTGGCCACCATGGGAATCCTGGCTGGGACCAGAACAGAGCTGGACTTGGTGTCTTCTTACATCAGGTCTCCTTTCCACCTAGACATGTCTCAGAATGCCTCAAGGAAATCTCAGAGCAGCCTGTCCTCTACTGTGGAGCTCAATTCCTCTTTCCTTTCTAACACAAGGTCCTTGGTGCGGCTGGCTGGATGGTGTGTATGATCACTGGGGGACACATGTGTCCCTTGGGGTGGAATATGAAGCTGAATGGTGCCCAGGTGGATTCCCATCTTCTTCAAAGACCAAGCCCCCTGAAAACTCTGCCCCCCACACATATCCTGACTTGCCTTCTTCTTTTATTTCCCCTCAAAATATGGTTCATTTCTGCACAACAGGGCTCCTCTAGGTCTAGCTCTTATCTTGATTTCCTAGAGAATCCTAACTTGGGGTTTGGGGGCACTTCAGACACTGTCAAGGTTGCTGTGAAGGATCCTTACTTTACCTGTGAGGTTTCAGACTCCATGAAGTGAGAGAACCTTCACAGGGTTGTACGGGTACTATTTTGCTTTATGATTCTGTATACACAGAAGCCAGTTGGAAAACCTTCTGCTGTCTACCCACTAACATGCCCAAGATTTTCAATTCCAGTCTCAAAAGTACTCCAGAGTCGTCTCAGCACATTACAAATTTCCCTCTCTGAAAAGCACTGCAATTACCAGAGACATTTTAAGAGGAAGAACATTCTGGAAATAATGGCTTTATTCCTAAATTCAGATTTCCCACATTTTGGGGTCAAGAACCCCTTTAGGGAGTTGATGAAAGCTATGAAGTCTTTCCACATATAAATATTTACATGAAAACATAAAACTTTGCTCCAGTGATTATGACAATGAATATAATACAATGAAATGTATAGCAATGAAAAACCTTCATATGTGGCAGAAATAAAAGCTCTTATATGGCTAAGGAATATGTAGAACTGGCTTTTAAATCACAATAATTTCTATAATGCAACAGATTATGGAGCAGGATCGTCCTCACAACAACCTTGTGAGGTAGGTAATGGTCTTGGTTACTTTTTTCATTACTGAGACAAAATACCTGGTACCCAAAATTAAAGCAGGAAAGGTTTATTTGGCTCACAGTTTGTTGAGGTTTCAGTTCATAGTTGACTGACTCCAACACAGGGTGGCATGGCAGAGGAGAAATAGTTCATGGTAGGCAGAAGACAGCAATGCAGCAAGCTACAAGTAAACAACAAGCAGCAACCCTCTTTCTGTCCCTTATATTTTACCCAGGCTACCCACTCTTAGGCAGGATAGCACTCACACCATAGGTGGGGCAGCCTTAGTCCCAGGATCACACCATGAATCAATCCCAGCATCACACCCTTGTTCAGAGCAGCACACACTCTAGATCCTGCTACCTCCAAAAAGCCCCACCTATGACCCCGTGAGATTGTGGGGAGACATCTAGATACAAGCCATACCAGTATTAATATCCCAGTTTTACTCATGGGGAAACTAAGACCCAGAGAAATCTGCATATTTGCCAGAGCTTACATGGCTAATAAAGGTGGTATGACTCTTTGTTCACAAGCTCTTTGTTCTCTATTCAAAATATCTTCAATTTTAATATTTTTAGTTTAGGAATCGGGCTCCCTGCTAACCACTCAAGGGAAACTCAATGAATGTCAAACCCTTTCAATGAGATTTGGCAGTGGGGAGAAAATCAAGGGGCAGCAGATTGAAGCTTATCATATTATTTATGACGACATGCTCCAAGAAGCATTCCCAGCAAGGATTCCAGAAAGCATCTCCCAGGAACTCCGGACTTGTGGGTCCAGAATCCAGACACCGTTTAAAGGAAAACAAAGTCATACAAAACTTGGTGTCCTCAGAGGTTTTTGTCTTTGGTGTTATGGATTTTTGTTTTCATGATGACCATGAATTATTTGGACATTTCCCAAAGAACAGCTAAAAGGTGATTGTGATAGGGAAAACTTTTATAGATAGCAAAACCGTTACAATGTAAAATGGCTTCTGCTGTCTCTAACAGCAGTTTGTTTTGTTTAGCTCAAAACTAATAGGCACCGAAGGCACTAATTGCTGACTGAGGCATTTGGTCTGACCCTGAGATAACAGTCAAGGTCTTGAGCTCTGATGAGACTGGAGCCACCTGATTGTAAAAGTGTCCAAATGAAAGAACTCATTGCTAACATTTGCTCCCCTGACCCTGAACACCCCCTTCCTATGGGCTACAATAAATAACTAAGCGAATCTTAAAGGTAAACTCTCCAACTGCAAAGAACTGTTACATCTGGGTTGAAAAGATTAACTATTTTGTGACCATGATTTGAACTGTGAGAATGAAATGTAACCACCCAAATGAAGTCAAGGCTGTAAAACCCTATAAAAGGAGGAGTTGTAACCCAGTGCGTCGTCGATCCAGGCACGGCTTATGTGCGACTGACCCTTATCGATAAGTAAATTTATTATTTTACTTCCATTCTGCTGCCTGTGTGTCACTTACTGATTCCTTCCATAACAATTGGAAGGAGAGCCCAAAACACCCAAGAAATGGGCAGAATATACACCAAAGGGAAAACATGAGAGTTAAAAAAACAAACTTCCAACTTTATAAAAGATTAAGATGTCAAGAAATGTGTAACATGGTTATAAACATCTGCAGTAGAGGGAGGCAGGGTGAAAACCACTAACAACCCATATTCCAGGCATTTTAGGATCTCCAGAGTATGCCAGACCATATTCTTGATGATCCATAACTCTTCCCTTGGCACCTGCTCAAAGGGACAAAGATAGGCAAGCTCTGATTTTATGCCATTATGTCTTAGATGGTGGAGCTGGGCTAATGTAGCAGAAATTAAACACTGCCCATGGACTGTGGCCATTATATGGAGTTTTTGTGGCACTGCAAATGTGAAAAAATATGCTGATGCAGTTTCTTAGTAAAGATAGCTCTGTCCCTTATTACAGAGCCATACCACCAAACATTCTTCAACGTATCTCCTCAAATTAGAGTAACAGAGCCAATGTCTTTTCCCTGGCTTTGTTGTTATGGGTAGTGTCTCTCCATCCAGTGCCTTACCTCCACTTGCTTTTGGACTCTGGCCAAGCAACCTCAAGCCCCTCCTAGTTGGCATCAACAAGAACAAATACCTCTGACCATGTAGGCAAGGGTTCCCAGCCCCATTCCTAATCTAACCTCAGTTCCCCAACCATGGAGACCCACAACTCTTCTTGAGTGACTGATCTACACCCACCAACTTAACAAACTGTGACTCATCCCCTGCGAGAGGCTTTCCTTTAAAACTCACACAACAGCATCTCTCTCAAAGAGGACCATCATCAAGAGTTGAAAACCTTAAGGCTTTTGTGCTCCCCAACCTCACCAAAGACCCTTTAACACTCACTTCTCCTACAGAGTGATATCTGTGGTCCTCAGGCTCCTAAAGTTTGGTGACCATTATAATCAATGACAATTTCTTTTTTCCCAGGGCTTTTTTTTTTTTCTTTTCCATTGGGAATAAGAGTGTTGCTTATTTTTACTATGCCTTTTCAAATTCCTCATGACTTCCTTTTCCACATAGCCTAAGGTACAAAAGAGCCCAAGGTTGTTGGACAGTATGTCAAAGCAACGCTGAGGGGCACTGAGGGAAAGAAGATGACATGACATTATCCTTCCCACTGTGGCTGTGGGCGTGGCACAGACCAGAATCTTTCCACCCTTCCTCACTTTAGCATGCTCAGTGTTTGTAATACCACCCCAGGTACCCCCACTGAAGGCAAAAAGAGCGTCTGAGCCCTTAGCCTGCATGAATGATCCACATTTAGCATAAGAATTATCGAAACATCAAGGACACATCATTCTGGAGGGGTCTCCATGTGTTGCAGCCCTCTCCTTATATGCAGAAAGGGTGGTCCTGAGAAAAACACTTCATCCCACACCCCACAGCCAGCCATATCAGCCTTCCAGAGCAGAAAGGGAATCGTGTCCATGTTGTACCCTTAGTACCTAACTGGTACCTGGCACACAGCACACTCACTCTGTAGAAAGGAAAGAAGACAGGAAGAAAGGGAAAGAAGTTTTTATTTTGGCTTTTTTTTTTTTTTTTTTTTTTTTTTTTTTTTTTTTTTGGTACTGGGGATTGAACTGGGGTCGTTGCACTCATGAGGCAGCACTTGGGAGGCAGGCGGCAGAACCACTGAGCTAAATCCCTGGCCTTCATATAACCTATTTTAAAATGGGCTGAAGAATGCACTCACCTCAGGATCCTACAGGTATCCTTCTTACCATTCCCTGCTCCTCTTTACAGGAAATTACCTCACTTTCCCAGTGTAAGAAATAAAAAGGAGAGAGTCTTGCAGCAAGGACAGGCTTTACTGAGATAAAGACCTGAGAGGGGTTACTGGTTCTGAAGCAGTTCTCTTACAGAGTAAGGGGTGTATAGGGGCTAGCAGAAAACCAGGAAGCTGGAAACTGTTCTAGGGTCGGGTCATCCATCTTAGTCCATGGAGGTGGTCTGTTTCTTGTTTGCATAAGGCTCCCTATTCTACTGGAACTGAGGGCCTTTTGGTCTGGAACAGTCTGTTCTATAAACAAGAACCAGGGCAGTTAGAGGTATTGATAAGAGAATATGGGGAAGAGTCAGAATTCATGGGAAGATGTCCTTCAGACTTTTCCTTGCACCCAGCTCACGCTCCAGGGAGAACACATCCTCTTCCATCTGAGAGTGCTGGCTACTCTGGTGAGTCCACTCCCAGGTTCAACCTCGTGTTTAGGATCCCAGCTTGGGACCACCACAAATATTTGCCTCACTGACAAACTACAGAGCTTTGGGCAGTCCAGACACCCAATTTAACCTACAACCAGCACCAATCAGAGACCAAAACGAAATCTCCCATTAGGGAGGGAAATTACTGAGGTCAATATTATTTTGTTTAATCCCTTGAAGCTCACAATACACTTTACTATGACATCAAAGCAATTTTAAAAGTCATTTGGATACTTTTGCTCCTGTCTAGAAGGGAGAACAGGAAAAATACGTGATCGTATCACCAAAGATCAACAGGGTTTTGCTATAGATCCTACCCCATTTCTTATCTGCTGCATGCCCCCTTCCTATGCAGAGTTTGAAATTTTCCAGAGTTCCCTGTAAGGCCACCTAAATCACATAATTGAACAGGGCTGGAACAGTCCCGACCTAACCTCATCCTAGAGACCAAGCCTGCTCTCCTCAAGGCACTATCAACCCAGTAATATATGGCTCTGCTACAGTTCAATTCCCGCAGCCGTGCAGACTTCGGAGCCGCAGCCCTATAAAGCTCCCCTACGGGTCCACCCCAGCCTGCAACCTACGATCTCGCGCTCTGGTCAAGGAGCGCAGGCGCAGGAGGCCAACGTCTCCAGGGCCCCGCACGGGGTTCCCCCTGGGGTGTCAGGGTCTCAGGCAGAGGCAGCTCCTACCCTCTCCCCTAACGCCTCTCGAGGGGACTTGGGGAGGCCGGTGGAGGACCCAGGCTCTGTCCTGACACAGAGCCTCTGGTCACCGCGGCAGGTGCACTGGGAGGCCTGAAATGAATTCCAGCCTTCACTCAGGACGTCGTTCCCAGCCTCTGACCCGCTCCTGCGTGGCTGAGTTAGTTGCAAGGTCGCAGGCCCGCACGCACCATGGCAGTGGGGCAGGTGTCCTCTGGGAAGGGAGACAGCAGCCTGGCCCCTCGTCTTGGGGGGCCCTGGCTGAACAGGAGCCATCCTGCCACCCCACCCACACATCCCGCGGACGTCCTGAGGAAGCTGGCCCATCTGAGGGCTTCCGGCAACTTCTCTGTTGCTCAGGCAGCACTTTTTCTGGTCCTCCCTCCTTTTTCTTCTCACTCCTCCTTGTGTTTATGCATTTAAGCCCAAAGGTTTTTGTGTAGGAAAAGCTGCACTCGACCACCATTTGTGTGATTTTTATATTTCGTTTGTTGAACCTATACAGCTAATAAATCCATCTTTAAAAGTTTTACTCGAATATTTGTTGATTAGAGCGTCAACAAATACCCCCATATTACTTTGAATTACAAAATTACTACGGGTGAGTCACTTGAGCCCTTTAGTCTGTTTTAAAAGGCAGACTCAACACATATACTAGAAAATTTAAGTTCCTTTAATAAATAAAATCTTTATACTCCCAAGGCCAATTTCCCCAGGGTGGAAGGAGAGAGAGCAAGATGCCCAAACAGTGACGGTTTTCCATTTCCCTTTTTATCACCTGCATTTTCTGCAATGTAGATGGATTTGTAAAAATATTTTTCCCTTCCAGAGAGACTGTGGCCATCAAAGTGAGGCAGAGGCTTCTCCCACAGTAACTGTCCCCAACTGCCAAGGCTGAGGCTCTGCCCACAGTAATAGTCTCCAACTGCTCAGTCCTTCAAGGACTGAGGAATAAGATGGTGCAAGCTGGACTCCTTCCCAAACTCGCTGACTCCTACGCAATGAAAACAACATCATATAAGCATGGCTGATCACTTTGTCTGCACACACTGACTCTATACCACAAGTAATGAAGACAGTCTTTGAATGTTCCCATGAAGTCACCTGAAACTTGTCTTTCTGCATTAATCTTGCTGCCAATAAGAGGAATGGTCAGCTGATCTAAGAAGAAAATGGGCTGAAGATATTCATAAAAAGGGCTCTGCAGTTCAAGGCGCCATTGCTGGTGAAAATGATTAGAAACACTTCCCAGCATGATGGACCAACTGAAAGTTCATGCTGGGGGCCTTGCAGCCCAGGTCTCTGATGATGAGAAGGAGATTGTGGTCGAATATTTGGGAATCGCGAAAAATCTGACCATTTCAGACTTGGACTGAAAACTGGTTCTGAAGGAGGAGTACACATTAGTTCCCTACCTCAAGGATAAGTTAAAAGATTCAACTCAGTGATTCTGCTGCTTGCTTCACAAGCACAAGGTCCATAATCAAGGAAACACAAGTTCCAGCGTATCTCTTAGATCAGACACATGGCAAAAATGAAACCCAAAAGGTTTGTGATAATACCCTAGATCTAGAATATAATAAAGAAGGGGCTAAGAAAATTCAGAGAGAAAAGTTTTGCTGGCATGACTCAGCGGCCGGAGTTTCTAATTGTCTGATTGAGAAGGAGCAGTACTTGTATGGTGATGGATCGAGCCATATATCCATACGGAGATGTTCTCCAGAGATTTTACATTTTCTACAGCTCAGGTAGACACCAGGAGGATGGCAGGAGAGAACAGAGGACGTTTGAGAAGGCACCGCCTCCTGACACAAATCTCCTCACTGCCGCCACTGAGATTGGGCGCTGAGGCCCCGCCCCTCCACCCCCTAGACTGGGCTGGGCGCCTGGCGCTGCCAGCCACGTGGCAACCAACGGTCAACAGTCAGGAGGAGAGGCTCAGCCTCACCTGTGCCATGAGGGCACCTCGCACAGCGGAGGAGGCAGCACAAGCAGCCCTGGAGTAGCTGACTCCACGTCTTGCCTCACTCAGGAAATCTGTCCTGTTGAACCTCACTGCCGCCGCCATGGGCCTCCATGAAATCATCTCTTCCTGTGTGTACTCTCAGCTTTGAAGAAATCTGCACAGGCTGGGATAACTGACTTTGGTGTAATCATGCGTGTCACTATTGTGGATCTCTGTTTTTCCCTTTTTTCCTTCAGATTAGCTGCAGCCCTTTTTATCTTCTGCTAGGTACAATTACTGTTAAGGGTTCATTCATCCAACCACATCTTGGCGCTGAATAACATGAATTTCATATTCTACATGAAGACAAGCTTGCTAATGAATGATGTTTTTCTTTACCTACTTGTAAACTCTTTCATATTTCATATGATATTCTGGCCATAAACATTTTTTTATTCCATGCTTTGTGCCTGAAAAGTTCCTTCAAAAAGTTATTAACTATGAGTTTTTAATAAAAATAAAACATGCTTTAAGTGAAAAAACCCACAAAAGAAAAAGCATATCTGGTCTTGACAAAGCTCCCTGCGGCTTCCAAGCCTTACCTTTGCTGTAGCTCTCTCAGAGAGGAGCCAAGGGCAACTTGGGGATGGTGTGGAAAGGGTTTAGAGGGATTCTGCCCCTGGTATGGGAGGCAGACGAATCTGACATTCATTAAACCTTCCAAGCTGAGAGACCAGCTAACCTACCTTGCACACATGTGTGTAAGAAAAGCACGTGTAGAGTGAGTTGGGAGCAGACTGCCCTGTCATGAAGGAACCCCGCACACACATACACACACAATACACACATTCAGTTCTCTATTCTCTGTTTCTTGGGCTGTTTTCAGTGTCAAGTGTAAATCCAGATTTGTTCATTTGTTCAGTGTCAAATGTAAAAGCCAGATTCCAGACTAAGCCTCCTAAAGTATTCACAATAATTTGGGAGAGTGCAGACATAGCCTGTGTCTTGATCGCAACTGTCTTCCTAATAGTGTGAGAGAGTAGAGCTAAGATGTTTCTCTTTTCAAAGGGCCCTCTGCAGACCCTGATTAAGACCTCCTGACTACTGGGGCCCCTTCCGATATGTGGGGGTCCCAGGTCCTGAGGATAGCTGGAGTCTGAACACAGCTGGAATTCACCTGTCCCCAGGGGCACGGAAAGTCTCATTCACACTGCAGCCTACCTCCTAAATGTGACTTCCCAGTCCCAGGCAGACCTGACTCCTCTTACAGGATATGGTCCTTTCTCCCCAGTGAAAATCCCACCCTCTCTGTAGCAAGAAGGTCCCATCAGGAGGCCTAGTGTGTCTGAGACCTCCGCTTGAAGTCCTGCCACTGTGTCTCCCTCACACATCCCCAGGCTGTGACACCAAGGGGAGCTCTTGCCTTTACCTGTCTCCCATGAATGCTGGGACACAGCATCCCAGCAGACTTTAGCATTGGGGACTTCACCATCTGCCCTTTCCAGGCAGGGGGGCCACTCAGCCTAATGCCGGCTCCCCAACTTCCTTTGGGCTCACTTCCCCACTTGTCAGAGTTCCGTGGTGCCTTTACAGTCTCACTCCTCAGCTGTTCTTCACTAAGGGATCTGATGACAGAAACAAGACAGGGGCACCTCCAGCTTCCAAAGTGGATTCTTGCCAGTCAGTGGAGCAGGGTCTTCGACTGCGCCCTTACAGTACTACTCTTAGTGTAGTAGTTTGGTTAGCATGACTAGGCAGGCAAGGGACTAACAGAGGCCAGACAGGAGAAAAGAAAATAGCCCACTGTTAAAAACGAACTCAAGGGGGGAAAACTCAAGCTTAGAGATGCAAAGGTAGACACAAGAAAAAGGATAAATTATAATAAAAAGGCAGATGAGGACCTACCTTTTTTACCCAGGAAGAAGATATGCTAAGTTAGACTAAGCATAGTTGGACCTAGACACAAACTGGAAACATTAGAAATGCAAAATAACGTTTCTTTTTTTTAACATTTCCTTTAAAGTCAGCCTCCTCTCCCTGCCTATCTATAAAGACATACATTGGACCTCTTTCCCCCTCGTTCTGGGTATCCACCAAAAGCTTTTTCCCATTATTTCTAATAAACACTCTCCTAAATTCCTTCTCTTGTCCTAAAATGTATTCTTCAATTTTGAGATACAAACAGCTCAGGTTTATACAGAGTTGGAACCATTTCATCAGAGCTGTGCCTATTCTGTTTCCCAGTCAAATGTACTTGAAGAGCAGGGCCGATTCAGCTCTGTGTGATAGGTGTGGGGATGGAGAAACCCAAGCCTTTACATTTACTGGTAAAGACGTGTGCACTCGATCATGAGTGCCAGGAACTGAGAAGTAGTTATGAGTAGACGGGAAAATCCAGTAGAATTTCAAAATAACAAGGGAACAAGGTTAGATAAATGGGGGGGAAAAAAAAAAGGAAAGCTTCATTCACAGACACAGATTGGATGGGAGTGGGTCCCAAGTCCAGCTGATGGTTCATATCTTGACTCTGGATTTTCTGCCTGCTGCTGAGAAGTCTCAGAAAAAACACCCTGAAGGGATCTAAGTCACTTAGGACTTAGGGGATGAAGCAGAGACTACAGAGAATGCAGAGGCACAAGCTAATAATCCAGGTTCTGCATACAACAGGGAGAGAACTGCCAAGTGTACGCCCAGTATTAAGTAGTAAGCAGAGACATGTATTGAAGATCATGAGAAATTGGGCTCAGGGCCAATCTGGACCACAACAATGTTTAACGCAGACCAAAAATGGTGCAGGGGTAACAGGAAATATACAGCATTCTCAAGCATGTGCTCTCAGAGCATCAGAATCTCCTGTTTTTGTTATTTCTTCCTCTCTTAGTACAGTGGAAGGCGGATTGACCCTAGAGGGCTGTTTAAATGTCATAGGTGGAAGGGGATGACTTCCTTTTAGTTCCCTCTTTTATACTATCTTGCCCTGAAAGGACCGGTCCCCCCAAATTTTTACAGGGTGTTGAAGAAGGAAGTTCTTTTATAGCTACTTCATCCTGATTGGAGGCATTGGTTCTACCTACGAGGAGACCAAGGAACCCTCATTTTGACTAACAACAGGTCAAAGGAGCTGAGTTCTTCCTTTGAGGATTTCTTGCCTAATTGTGGACATGGAGGCAGGTTCTGATCTTGAGCTGGGGCCCTCACCAGTAGTTTGATGGCTGTCAATCAAACAGAACCAAATTTGACTTAGAGATTAAATATGTACATTCTGAACAAAAAGTGTATAAGAAGCATTAATAAAGGCTATGTCCAGAATAGTAAGCACTATAACCAAAATCCCCAACTCCAGATATTTATTTGGCTAGGATAGCCATAATTGGAAGATCTTAGAACCACAGTCAGCCAGTAAATGTACTGTATCTCTTGTTACTTGGATCTATTCACATAGAAACTACAAATTTTGGGGGGTGGGGAACAGAACCCCTTTGTTTCTGTAGTTAGGAGCTCTAATCCCCTACAACACTGTACAGCCACCACTGCTAGTGAGTTTATCTGGTCTTGAAGGAAAAGTGATAAATTCTGTCACATTCTTAGCTGGCTGCTGATGACAGGAGAAAGATGAGACTAGCTTCAAGTTCTCATGAAAGTAATCACTGTTTATTATCTCTGTTAGAGGCAGTTTCTGAATTATCCAGGAGGCTCCCAAAAGAAACAGAAAAGACCCAAAAGAAGTCATATTATAACTTGGAACAGGGCCTTTAAATGTAGTAAATGAAAGTAGCAACACTAGCCCCACAATTTAGAGGGAAAAAAATATTTTACTTATCTAGCTCACCAGGGTAGTTGTGATGTTTTCTTTTCTGAAAAGAAACATGAGGTTGTCTACTAGGGCACTCGTGTACAAGGCTTGTGGTCGTTCTTCTTTTTCTTCTTGTGTCTCAGGTGGCTTGGGTCTTACTCTATTTCCTGTACATTAATGGTAGAAGGAGTAGGAGTAAAGAAAGCTGTCCAGTTAACTCCTACAACAACTTTAGAATGGGATGAAAGCTCACCCAACAAGAAACTAGAGCTGAATGAATCACCCCACTATTACAGAAAATTATAAATTGTTTACCCAATGTGTCCAGAGTCACCCAAGGACCCTAGGCACCATCACCTACTATTCAGGCCTTCTTCCCTGGCTACCTTGGTGATCGATGCATGTCCTCATTAGGAATGAGGACAGTCCCTCTCCCCATGCCAAAGGTCTTCCATGCTCTGACAGGCCTGAGAAGGGCTAGGGGCTCCTGAAAGTATTCCTTTGCTTAGTGACCTGTTTGCTTGCACTTGAAGCACTCTGACTTGCATTCATCATTCTTTGGAATAACTCAGTTTACCTTAGAGCTGCAGGACATTTGTCAGGAGCCTTGTCAAATAGGGCAAGCAGAGCTTTAGCCTGTCTCTTTCTGATCCAGTGCTTGTTTCCTCTATTTCCGTTATGGTTATTGAAGACCGAGTAAGTTTTATGAGCGTTGGTTTATTTTGGCTTATGGGCCCAATTAGGGTTTCTAGAGCTTTTTCCTAATGTCTGGAGCTGACCAACTAATAAAATACTGACTTAGGGTAATCTGGCATTCTCTAGATTGTCTTGTGTATGGATGAACTTCGTGTTCTGGCTGAAGCTGATGAGCAACTGGGTTCTCATCAGAGCCTCGACTGATAGGCCTAAAAATGGCCTTGATGACCTTTCATTTGGTTTCTCCACCCTCCGTGTTGTAATCCCATTCAGATCCCTGTGGGGAACCAAATAACACAGTACTTGGCTGGTTATCAGAGTGTGCAGCTCCAAAGGCTTCATCACTGGCCAGCTTTGCAGCCCTTATAACCCTTTTCCGCAACATGAGACCAGGGTGAACCGGACATCTCACCGAGTCAGATCAAAAGCCATCATTAGAATGGGGAAACTGTCCACAAAGCTTTCAGGATCCTGAGTCTACCCGGTTTTTTCCTGCAGTGCTGAATAAAAATAACTTACAAAGGGACTAACACTCAGACTGTACGATTGGTGCCTGTCACAGCTTGAAGAGGTAGAGTCATGGCTGGCTTGGATGCTGAGTTCCCTGAATTTTGGGCCCTGTGGTAGGTAGACCAAGACTGGGTTATGGGATGGTCTCGGGGGATGGCCTTTATCTCCTGAGGGCACTGCCTGAGCAAGTTGTCAAGGAGGTAGCCTGTAGAGAGGAGAAGCTGACTACAGGGAGTCCTTGGCAGTGTCAGCTTCAATGGAGGACTTACTTCAAGGGTTCAGGCCTCTGGTAGAAAGTTATAAAGGCTTTCTCCTAAGGCACTTTTGACCAGTTTTCCTGTTCCTTACAGTAAAGATAGAATTTAAATATGGCATCATATAGTTCAGTCTGCCAAGGGGTGACTGCCTCTTGTGTTCCCTAAATGAATACAGAGG